GCTATTATTGTCCCAATTGTGTTGATTAGGAAATTGAGGCAGTTAGAAGATAAGTTATTTGCCCAGGGTCACATAGCTGTTAACTGTCTTAGGCAGGATTTAAACTCAGGTCTTCCTAACTCGAGGTCTTTCACCCTATCCGGTGTTCTACCTAGCAACAGAAAATGTGTTAGCCGTGGACGAAATTCTTAGAGAGGAGCAAAGCAAGAGTGTTTTAACTGATTTTTAATATGCTGGGAACCCTGGGTCCTGGACAGGAGACTCAGTGGAATCAGCATGGGGACTTTCTAGTTCACATATATCATGTTATCAAGAATGATGCCAAAGGCTTTACTCCCTACCTGATGAGGTTTGAATGAGAGCCACATTTGCCTATTTTTTTAAATTATTTATTTTTTGGTTTTCTGTTTTTTGACCCCCCTACAATCTTATCCTGATATAATCCTAACTTCTCCTGCAATGAACCCTCACTTGCACCAAACAGATCAATTTAAGTAGCAAAACTGACATTTGACAGCACATGGAAATTTCCACCCATGTAACCCCTATGCCTATCTCTCTGTTGAGAGAAAGGAAATGGTTTTCATCATCTGTCCTCTATGGCCAAGATTGGTCACTACAATTAGTCTGAGTTTGACTGACCATCAAAGAATCATAGATCTAAAGCCGAAAGGGACCTCAGAGGTAATCTAATTCAACTCCTTCGTTTTATGGATGGGGAAAAGTTACATGACTTGCTCAGGGTCACATAGTAAATGTCAGAGGTAGGATTTGAACCCAGGTCCTCTGACTCCAGACCCAGTCCTCTTTTCACTGTACTAGTGGTATTTTCATATACAGTATTGTAGAAGTTGTGCATACCATTCTGTTTACATATAGTTTACTCTGCATTAGTTCGTTAGTCTATTCATTGTTTTTTATATGCTTTTTGTTGTTCAGGCTTTTCAGCCATGTCTGACTCTCTGTGACCCCGTTTGGAATTTTCTTGGCAAAGATACTGGAGCAATTTGCCATTTCCTTCTCCAGTTCATTTTACAAATGAGGAAACTGAGGCAAACAGGGTTAAGTGACTTCACACAGCTATTATGTCTGAGGCTGGTTTTGAACTCAGGAAGGTGAGTCTTCCTGATTCCCAGCCCAGTGCTCTATGCACTGTGGCGCCACCTGGCCTCCCTCCTTCATATACTACAGTTTATCTATTCTCCAATCAATGGAGCAACCGCAGTTTCCAGGTTTTTGTTACCACAAAAAGTGCCACTATGAATACTTTGGTATAGATCATGTTTGTCTATCGATCTGTGCTTTGGAGTCCCCAAAGATAGAGAAAACAAAAATCAGTGCATCACTCAGCTGAGAAATCAACTACCTAAGCTACGGATTTAGCTCAGAAGGCCTCATACTGAAACTACCCATGGGATGATGCTCAAGTACGCAATTCCCGGCAGGGTCTCCAGCCAAGATTTAGTCATATATTTCTACAAAATCTTGATGTTCATGGAAGTCATAACATGGGGATTCACTCCATACCAAGCAGTGAGCCTTCCCATCTACAAAATGGCCCTAGAGAATGGTCAAGAGCTAGTATAGTAGAGCCACAAAAACTATTGATGACTGTAGGGAATTTATTTGAACAGGAGCCATGGAGAGATAGGGAAGTGATCTCAAATGAAGGCCTATCCATCAACCATAAATAATAAGCTGGCTTTAGTTAATGGCCCATAGAGAGAGGATTGAGGTCACAATTCAAATGATAATGGAATGGCATGTTGTTATTCTGTTGAGGGTCAGGGAATCCTGCCATGACTGCTCTAGATTGAGAGGAACCTCTGTCTAGAAACAGGATAGGGATGCGATGGGAAAACTGAATCCAGAGGCTACCCTTTCCCTATTTTCCCAGTTGTGAGTGCCCTAAGGGAATGGATGCAACCCATAGCACCTACCTCTTTAGGGAAGGAGACATAAGTTGTTCCTTTCTGCCTTCTACAGGCTTAAGATGCAATTGGCAGACCGGTAGTTATGAGGATGCCAAGCAGGCAGAATGGACATTGGGTTACTGTACAAGTGATTGGATTGGGTGGTTAGTGACCAGATTGGTGCATGATGCCCCAAGGCTAAGTAGGACAGATAAGAAGGGTCACAGAGAGTCAGACACAGCTTAACAAAAACAACATGAAACCCTGATAGGTGATGCTATGTGTTATTGATTTACATGTGACATGTATTTGATCTAAGTAAGCAATTTTGTTATAAGTACTAGCTATTATGTTTATGTCTGTGACATGTTTGGTCTATTGCATAAAGCTCTAATGTATTTATTACATACTATGCACCTTCACATGGCCTACCTTTTTGGGAAAATTGCCCATAACTACATTATATTCTAATTAATGAATGTTTATAATAAGTGCCTGTGGATGACCCTATGTACCTAGTATGATTTGCAGGGACTACAAATATTTTCCCCTAAGGGGAAGGTATGATAGGGATAATAGGGATATAATAGGGACAATAATAATTGTCCATAATGGGGCTTTCCATTTCCATTGGGAAAGGTCCAGGATGCCAGAATCCAGAGAGGCTAGTGATAGGATGAAGCACTGCATAAAGGGTTGCAGTCTTGCAGAGAAGATGGGGAGCCTCATGGAAAGGGAATTCATGGAAAGGGAAAGGGGTTGTTGTGAGCCTCTGTGGGCAGAGAGCTAGATCACTGGCAAAGGCATTCTTAGCCCCATGTTACATAACTGTATGCAGACATTTATGAGGCACTCGTTGTGTGCAGAGCAAGTATCTGAGGGAAACACAAAGTTTAAATTAAGACACGGTCTCTATCC